GACTGTATCTGATAGATTCAGTACTTCAATTCAGTGATCACCACATTATAATCACTATGTAATACAGAAGCTAGTGTGGGGAAATATCTTAGGCCTGAGATATAGAAGCAGAATTTATAGTTAATACTGGTAAATATCAATGAAAAAGATGTCTGATTATCTGGTTTGGTACTAAGAGCAGATTCCCTGGTTATAAGTTTTACCCCCTACTTCAAGGGAACACACCCCTCCCACCCCCTGCACCCCTCTGTCTTCTTTTCTTCAGTGCTCAGGTTGAACCCAGGGCCTCATACTTGTTTCTGCTCCACCACTGAGCCACATTTTCCAGTCCTAGACGTTTTAATTCTGCAAACTGAATTTTATTGGATAGATTCACCACAAGAGCTCCCTCAGGGACATTAAGAACTCAATCAGTACATGTTTATCAGCTAAAAGGTGCTATGTAAATACAAATTACTGTGTTGGCAAGATTTGGTTTCTTCTTTCCTCCTCTTACATTTTGCAGTACTGGGGACTGAACTCAGGAATTATATTTTGCAGTACTGGGGACTGAACTCAGGAATTATATTTTGCAGTACTGGGGACTGAACTCAGGAATTACATCCCCAGTCCTTTTCTTGAGAAAGGATCTGGCTAATCAGAAGGTTGCCCAGGCTGAGCTTGAACTTGTGATCCTCCTGCCTCAGGCTCCCAGAGTGCTGGGATTACATATGTGCATCACCACATCTCACTTGGTATTCTCTTGAATTTAAGAAACGCTTAGGGTATCTAATACATGGCATGGGTACAGGTACACATCAGTTCTAGCACTTCTACTCACAGGAGGTAAATGTTACTTTTTAGCATTTTGACTTATTTTACTTCCAGACCATGCCATTTGTATCTTATTTTCATACCTACTATTCTTTTTTGTTTTATAAATACAACGGACCAGGAAATACAGTTACGAAGCTCCCATTTCATTTAATCTTTTAAGGATAACGTCAGTAGATTCTGGTTAAACACAAGTATTGATTTGGTTTTATTTTTGTTACTTTTGCCATTTTCCTACCTAATCACAATGCCTTTTGATAAAACCAGAAAGCTACACCCCAGAGCTGCAGGCCAGCACATGACAGGAACAGGCTGGCATCTGGACTGGCCTGTGGGTACACTGCAGAATAAGGACTGCTTTGCACCAGAGTCCTGCCAATGAAACATCCTGGTGAGATGATCAGAAGAGTGACTTCTGTGTGAGAGCCTTGCACAGTTTGGGACAGACCATTTCCACTTTCTCTAAGCACTACTTTTCCCAGATGGTCTGTATATACACCCTGGGTGCAGCCTGTCCAGGGTGGGCTGGATGCCAGGCTTGTCCTTCCTTGATTCAGGTAAGACATGGTAGCTGCTTTTCCACTAGGAAGATCCATGCTGCTTTCTTCTGCTATTTCAAAAAAATTCTTTAAAACTGTCAGATAATACACTGGTGTCTCTTTAATCAGCATTTGCAGATTGAACACACGGTTGCTCCAGGCAGGCACAGATGTAGGTTTTTGCCCTGTATGGTAGCTCTCTGCATAGACCCTAGTGTCATCACTGCAGGGAGGCGGTGCTGCCTCACCAACTGTTCTCACTTCCTGCTCAGAGGGGCTTAGAAAGTGAGGGGAACTTGCAACCACTCGTTTCCTACAGCTGTTTATTTCAGTATAACTTTTTGTAAAATTTTAGTGGAACAGAAATAAAGACAGCTTAAGATTTGAATCACATTCTGCTGTACTTTTTCTCATAAGCCTGAAATAGAACTTTCTCACACCTTTTGTAGTTGGATATTCTGAATTTAAATAGGACTGCAGATATAAACAAAAAGAGCAAGATGTGTGGATTGATGTGCCTATTTCAGTGAAATGCGGCCACATTATTTCTGAAATGTCGATACTAAAATTAATAAAATGACAAATAGAAAAAAATTTGGAGATAGGCATTGTAGTGACAATGAGCTTTTAAATACTGCTAACAGTTGCTAATAAAAGACCTGAAAATTTTATTTTGTGTCTTTTCAGGTGACAATTTTCTAGTATTTAAAATAACATACTTTATTATGAAAAGGGCCTCATGTCTGCTACCCAGGTACTCTTGAGTTTCACCCTAGACAAATTACTAATTTTATTTTCTTTAAGTTTTGGGGATCGAATCCAGGGTGCTCTACAAGTGAGTTACATCCTTAACTCTTTTGAGACAGGGTTTCACTAAATTGTCCATGCTGGGTTTAAACTTGTGATCTTTCTGCCTCAGCTTCCCAAGCAGCTGAGATTACAGGAGTGCACCACCAGATCTGGTTCTATCTCTAATTTTATAAATCATATTAGATTATTACTGATCCCAGTGGAATGACACAATTATAAATATTTTTTATTTTTCCTTTTAACAAAGCTGAAAAATCAGAAAGAGAAAATAGTTATGTCTGAGCTCATGGCCAAAGATTCATTATTTTTTGATTTGTTTAAATAAAATTCCATCTACCTAATGTGTAGAATCTTTTCAAAACAAAGGCTTCACATAGCTCAGCATTATCACAGAAGTACCCATTTTATATTTAATTAGCAAATTGTAACAGAATGAGATCTTCACTATCTGGAGTCAGTAACAGAACTGGTGTAAATATGAATAAATTACGAACCAAAAAGATTAACAGGTGACAATTTTGTCACATGGCAATCAGAATTTATATTAGATGGCTAAAATTAAGCTTTTTAAATTAAAAGATCTACTACCATCTTTTGTAAGGCAAACAATTTAGTGATTACTGGAAGAAACAGTAAAAAAAAGCTGTCACAGTTTTATAGACACTTCATGGTTCAAATGATAAAACTGGATTCAGTAGATTAATGCACTCACAAAACAATGAGGTCCATAATCCCCCAACCCAGTAGGCAAACTGGGTTTTGCTACCTATGTAGGGTTCTGTACATGGTTTAAGCATTTTATCCTCATTTGGATTCTGAGATATATACCAAAACATATTACTTAAGCAAGCCTATCGTATGGCATCAATTAAAAACAGAAACATCTCTAAGAATTTACAGGGCCAAATATGTTCTCATTTTACATCTTTACTGACTGATCTGGAAGAAATCTTGTAGGAGAATACTGTGACTTTTTCTTAGCTCTGCCAGTTTAATCAACGGCTCTACTTCAAAGCCAACTATAACCCCCTCTCCATCCATGAATTTGGCTTTAGAGTCACACATGCTATTTATTTTTATAAAGAGTGTATCTAAGATTCTTTTCTTTATATCCTGGATTACTCAAGTCAAGTCACCGCAGATAAGTGGATTAGTTACTGTGGTCATCTCGCACCATGGTGACATAAGCAGATGGCATGATCGTCTCATCTAATGTGTGCCCACAGCACTGAAAGGGTGTCAGACTGCTAACATGGACACTCTAAGACTGTTGGTAGGAAAACAATACTTTTCGTAACAGCATTATTTAATAATGCACTTTATTTGAAACAAAATGTGTTTGGTTTTTAATATCAGAGATGATGAAATACTGAGTTGTATTAAAGTCATAAAATATAGGTAAGAGTTGTAAAAAACAGGTAGATGATAAAAATTACAGAATACATAATATACTTTAGTTATAAAACACTGCTACAAAAAATTTTCTTTATGAAAAGCTTTCTTCCGGTAAAGCAGAGATTATACCATTGTGCTATAGCTCAGGGGTCAGCAAACTCACAAAATAATTTGGGCTTTGTTGATCATATAGTCTGTCACTCAGGTATCCAGTACTGCTCTTGCACCTTGAAAAAACCATATATGAGACAGAGAAGTATGTCTGTGTTCTAATAAAAATTTAATTATAAAAACAGGTAGCAGGTTGGATTTGAAGTGAGCCTTACAGTTTGCCAATCTCTTCTATACCAGCACTAGCCAAAAGAAATTTAATGTAAGCCACATATGTAATTTAAAAACTTTAGTATAGTTACATTAAAACAATGAAAACCGGTAAAATAACTTTAATATTTTTATTTAACTCAATATATCCAAAATATGTCAGCATGTAATTAATATAAAAACTATTGAGATACATTTCTTTTTGTACTAAATCTTTGTAACCATCATGTATTTTACATATAGAGGATATCAGTCATATCTCAAAAGTGCTCAACAGTCATATGTGGCTATGGCTACCAAGTTGGATCACATGTTCTAGACTTTCAAGGCTGGTATTTCTACAACTAATTTCAAGTTTAATGGCATAGTGTTGAGATTTGGTTTTTGATAGATAAGGGTTATGATTACGTTGCCACAGGGGAGCACAGGACAAGAAAGTATAGCTGCTGGGAAGAAGTATCTGGCTTCAGTCACTTCAAGCTGAGGTAGCCAGGACTGTAGGGTACAAACTGACAACCAATGCAATAATGATACAATCAGACAATATTAGCCTCACTTACCAATGCAAAAAATCTGATGTCAAAAGATATTTGATATAGACTACAACATGACCAAAGGTATGAACTCATTATTGTACATCTCTGACATTCAGTAAAGAATGCTAACTATCATTAGCAAAACTAGTCTTCAGCACTTTGACTATATCAGAATTTTTTTTTTTTTCCGGTACCGGGAATCGAACTCACGACCTTGCGCTTGCCAGGCAGGCGCTGTGCCGCTAAGCTAAATCCCCAGCCCCCTATATCAGAATTGAAAGGCATAGAATCTAAGCATGCGATCTGGAAGATAAAATGACCTGTTTAGCAAGGAAAAGGCTTCAAACTTAGATTGAATCTTTTATGAAACAGTTTAAAAAGCTAAGTGCCCCTTCACTTATCTTCCTGTAACACAGTCTAACACCAGTTAACAATAGTTTTAACAAGTTACCACAGGGTAATTGTAAGCCTTGGCTTAACCCTTGAGAAGCTTTTAATTATTTAAATACAACTTTGTAAGTAATTAAATTAGCATTTCCAAGATAAAAATGGACATAATCTACTGTTAATAAAACTTAGAGGCAAGTGTTTTTAACAAAAAATTTATTACCAAAATACAATATTAAAGTCAATACATGACAAACTCCTGTAAAGCAAAATAAATTATTCTAACATTGTACAGTATTTCCAAAGGTAGTTAAAGAAGTGCTATAAACCTTGCTTCACTGTCTGAACAGATAAACTGTTCTACCATGAACACAATCCTAGGGTTTCAGCTTTAAGGCATGCAGCTTGATGTGCAGGATAATTTTACAAAATGCAAATCATCCTATTTTAATAACATACAGTGTCAGAATAAACTGTAGTCTTTACATGTCAGTGTTGCAGAAATCTTTATACTTTGGCTATAGAAGCAATGCCATAGAGCTACACAATATTTATTTATTAAAAAAATACATGTATTCATGTCCATGAATATCAAACTCAAATTTCTATTAAATATATTTTATAGAATGTTACTTAGAGCACCTTGCTGTACAAAAAACGATTAAATAAGTCTATGAAAACTAAGAATATGTCTCAATAGAGAAGCCTGCTTGTCTTTGTCAAGCCAAATACACTACAGGAAGATACACTGTAAACATGGATGCCCACCATTTGCTTTGTGAGAACAAAACTGCGAAATGATTATAAAGCCACTAACAGTTACCCTGAATAGAATGAAGAATCTGTTACACAGGCTTCAGCCCATGTCACTACACTGCACTGTCTAGCCACAGTTCTTAGTCTACTGATCAAATGGAATATAGGCAAGGAACGGTGGAACACTGGCATCACCAATCGTATTCTGGATTGTTAGAGAAAAGGAGAAAATGACAGTCTTAAACAGTATTATTTATGATGATCAGAATGCATCATCTCTCCATTCTCATCTTTGCTGAATTTAGTAACTCTCTTTCTTTTAAAACTATTTTCACTATCAAGTCTTAGAATTCGAAGTGTTCAGAGCAGAAACCAACTAGTATGAGCTTTTGGTGACAAAGGGTCTAGTAGCAATTAATAAAGCATTACTCCTATAAAGGAATTCCTACTGATTATTTTAGTTACTAATCTCTTTTATAATTACAATTGCATATTTAATCTTCATTGTTACTTTTAGAAAAATCAGTTGTTCTTGGTAGACATACTGCTTTAAGGCTTGCCACAAAATGATCAAGGGAAAATACAGAATGTCCTTGGTACATGGTTCCTCCTATAGGCCAGGAGAATACTTTAAGGAAACACTAAAGCCAGCAACAGATTAAACTTCTGGGTTATTTCTTCCCCATTGGGTAGGGGAATTTTAAATTCATGATTCCAAATGGAAAATTTAGTAACGGTGAATAGGAGTGGCTTAAGGAAATTAAGAAAGGTAACTTAAAATGTCACCGTTGCAATTTGTGAATATTAGTAGTTTCCAAGTGATTATATAAAATTGAAGCCAAGGAAAATGAAAGCCAAGGTTGTTACTTTTCAGAATAACAGATTTTTACAAGGAAACATTGTATCATAGTTACTGGCAATGAAAAACTGATGTACAAGATGAGTGACAACAACAGGAGTGGTAAAAATGGAACTATTTAAAGTACTTTATTTGAATTTAAAATTAGATATAAATGTTTCAATGCATTTACATCCACATGCAGTGGACCTGGGGAATATATTTTTGTAAGTATAAATTCATTTTATCTTTTTAAAGATCATATATCAGAAATGGATTAATTTTTACAAATAAATTAAAGCTACCTAAATCAAAAGAGCTACAAAGTTATAGTCATTTGCTTAAATATCATCATCAAAATGGGATAAAAATTTTTTAAAAATCAGAAAACGTTTCAAGATGCCTGGCCCCACTTGTATAGTTCCCAGTGCTACCTTTAAAATATTTCATTTAACTTATAGCTGGGCTTGGGTAACTAACTGCTTTCTTAAGACATGTCTATATAGTATTCTCTTCACGAAACTCTATTTTTGATGTTCTAAATTTATCAGCATCACAGCCTCAACTCTAGATGTTAGAAGTCAGTATTCAAAATGTTCTGATATTCAGAAATAGCACTGTGAAAAAGGTGCAGTGAATGATGTCCTGGGCTTTTGACTTGTAGGCGGAACTTACTTAACAAAGCAGTGCATAAATAAGTGATCAGAACAACAACAAAGATACTCTTTGAAATAATTATAATATAAAATGTATAATTAATGAGAACATAACATGTATTTGAAGGTAAATCTGAATGCAAAAACATTTTTAGTTGGTTGCCATATGTCCTTGCACTATCAGTGGAATTTTTTAGACAGAAATCCCAATTTTGCCAAATACTGGTTACTTATTAAGATTTTTATAAACAACCTGGATTTTTATTGCATTTTAGTTACTTCTGGTTATTCCTCTTCTGCTAAAAATAACTAGTAAACTTCAGGAAGCATAACCGCAAAAGCAATACTAATTTTAAGAGGCTTCTGAATTTCATCTTTATCATCCATTTGATTTTTTATCTTAGAGTTCAAACTATTTCCAAAGCCTGATGATCAAATGCAAATTTCTGTAGTTGTTGCTTTAAGAGACTCTTTGAGATGCTGAGCAGGGGGTGGTGTGGTGTGGATGTGGTGTTTGTGTGTGTCACACAGCAGAAAGGATTAGAAGGGCCACAGAACTATGGGAAAATGTGTTGTGCTCTTTTAAACAGTGAAAAGAGCCTTTGAGAAGTACACTGTGCTCAAAATTTCTGTAAGTTTCAGATCTGATTTGAGTTGGTGGGATTTCCCCTATTTCTTCCTTTGCTCACAAGAAGTTCACTGTAAACTTAAGACAATTATTTACTTCTGTCTACTTGTATTCTAGATTTGATTTAGAGGTGTATTTTTTAGGGAATAAAGGAACATACCTTACATTTAATATCAATAAATTTCTATTGATTTCGGGAAAGACTTAAGAAGATCACTTCAAAGCCCTCTCCCTGTTTCCTTGTTGATTCTGTTGGTGACACTCTAAAGCCCCTTCCAGCAGCTGCCCCCTTTTCTCACAAGTTGAATCTGTTCTAGGGCTGGCACGGAAAATGTGAGCTTGCAGGGAACTAAGCTTAGCTTAAGACTGTGACACTTTTATAACAAGCTTTATAACAGTTCCTGAAAAGCCTTTTCTTAACTCTTTTGCTGCTTTGCACTTGTAAAGTATAATAAGCGTTTAATAATAAATACAGTCAACACTAACCCGCAGTAACAGAGGGTAAATGCAGAAGGGACTAATTACTTCCTCTTTAACCCACTTCCCTTCATTCAAAATATTTAAATTTCATTACTCCTTATCCATTTGGAATTGATTTTATTACATGACAAGTTTGGTTTCAAAGTCACATCTGTCATTTCCTCAAAAGTCACACCAACTATTTCTTGTGTCTAGTAAGTTATTTGACAGCACAATGGTGAAACTGGTTTAAGGAAATCCTCTTCAAGTACTTAGTCCAACTAATTCATGTTTAGAGTTGTGTTATGGTCCTTATTTAGGATGATGTTTACAATTTCACCCTCATGCTCTTTCATATGATCCAGGAGATTTTCTTTGCTAGTTGACTCAAAACCACAAATGCAACAACAGAAGAGTAAAACGCAATACTCCATCCCAGGAGGAACCAAACTGGAGTTTTTTTCCAAACTGTATGAGGTATTACTTGTAGGGCTCAGTTTCTCATTCTCGTGGGGATCTAAGACATCAATGGGTGTCTGGGAAATCAGCTCTGAGGATGACACCAAATTTTCTGAACTTCCAGTGACAGGGTCAGCTCTTTCTTCACTGCTGTTTAATGGAGTTTTTCCAGGTGATTTCCCCAGAACTCTTAAAAACAAAACCAAAACAAAACACACCAAACCTTGAGTGGGCTATACTGTAGGGCCAGCAGATTTAATACTAACTTAAATTTATATATAGCAATAAAGGGAAGCTTAAGGATAGGGTCAGATACCTGCCACTTTGTGAGATTGCATCATTAATAGCCTTGTTTACTTGTTCGTAGTTATAATTTCGGTCACTTGCGTGTTTCCACATATGAGACTTCAAAGAAGGAGGATGGCTGCACACGTATCCACACAAAGAACATCTGGAAGGCAGGGGTGAGGAGAAGCAGAATCATCCCACAACAGTATTTAAAAAATCATAATGATCCTATAGTAATTATTACAGTTCTTCTTCTGAGGCTTTATTAGATATATTTCACTGACTCTTAAGATATCACAGATTCTAAGAGACATTGACTTCAGTGAGGCCTCAGAGCAGATGTACTAGAATCAATGAAAGAAGGCATTTCATAACATAAAAATGTACAGGAATCAAGACAAACACCCTAGATAAGCAATTACAAGATCTGGAAAAACATTGAACAACAATAAACAAAATCTTTGCTCTGAATTCTTTATACACACAAAGAAAAACATAAAATTAATGTTCTATACCACTCCATTTATTAATGAAGAAAGGAAAAGAGATTTTCTAAACATGAACTTTGTGCTTATTTACAGAGCTACAGAAAATGGAAACGGTAGTCCTGAAACAGTTTGTACAATTTCAATTTCACAAATAAAACAAGATTTGTAATCCTAACATCTTACACTAGTACGGTGTATTTGTTTCAGCTGATGAACCAGCATTCATACTTATTAACTCTAGTCCATAGTTTATATTAAGGTTCATGGTTTACGCTGTACAATCCTATTTAGCTGACAAATTTAGTAAAGTGTTATGAAATCACAACTACAGTGTCACACTGAACAGTTGTACTGTCCTACAAATCTGTGCTCTACCTACTAATCATTTTTTCCTGCCCTCGAATCCCTGGCAACCAGAGATCTTTCTATTGTCTCTAAGTTTTGCCTTTTCCAGAATATCACATACCGTGATTGTAATCATAAGAGTATGGCTTAAGGGTTTTTCTGTGTCTTTTAGTGGCTAATAATGCTATTTTATGTATAGATGTACTACTTTCTTTATTCCTTTGCTACTAAAAGATATTGCAGTTGCTTCCAGGTTTTTGCAATTGATGAGTAAGGCTACTACAAACATACATGTGTGGGTTTTGTGTGAATAAAAGTTTTCATCATGTGGGTAAACATCTTAGTGTATGATTGCTGGACTGTGTTATAAAATTATGCCTTTTTTTTTTTTCCCAGTACCAGGAATCGAACTCTTGAGCTTGAGCTTGCCAGGCAGGCGCTGTGCCGCTGAGCTAAATCCCCAGGCCCTTATGCTTATTTTTTTAAGAATCTACAAATCCACTTTTTCAAAGATGGTTTTGTTAAATAACTAACAAATCAGGTAACACATTTGAACTCTTCCCTATACCAATAGAGACATGATCAGCATATCAAATGGCCTAAGAATAAATAAAATAATTAAATATTGGCCAGGATTTTTAACATCACTTCTAATGCACCTACAATTTAAGTTTGTAACAGCATGCAGAAATGTTTTTTCATTACATGTCCTGAGGATCAGGTCTAAAGGTGAAGGGTCAGAGAAATATAAAAAGAGACATCCAATCTCACTAATAATCTGGGAAATGCATTACATTTACAGGACTAGCAAAGATGAGTAAGTCCAGTAAGAGTAATAAGATTCTTCAGTGATGTGGAAAAATAAATGCGAACTGTGTGTACAGGTATAAGGACTCTGAAGAGCAGTTTGGTACTCTTCATTAGCACCAAAGAAGCACAAACCTATAGCCCCACAAATCTAGTCCTAAGTATCTACTCTGAAGACATTCTGTTTTTTTGTTTGTTTGTTTTTGTTTTTCTCCAGTAATGGGAATCGAACTCATGACCTCGTGCTTGCCAGGCAGGCGCTGTGCCGCTGAGCTAAATCCCCAGCCCCTCTGAAGACATTCTGGACAAGAATAAACATAGTAAAAGAATGACTGCTGTGGCATAAATAGTAAAAAAAGCATGCAGTCCACAACCACTGTTCTTCTACAAAGATATGGAAACACAAATTGTTTTTTTTAATATTAATGAAACACTATAAAGTTGTTAGAAGCGCATCTATAGTTATAATCATGAACCAATGTCAATAATGATAGTGAACATGAAAAGTAACATTAAGTGTGTATTGTGCACAGTTTAATTAAAAATTGTTAAAATACGAAGAATAACTGTATACTGTATAATACACATATATACATGCTATATGTTGCACACACACATATTATGCGAAGTCACTTAAAAATGCCTGGATATGATACATTAATATTGAGATAATGGGTTACCTGAGATGGAAGAGGTAAAGGATACAGTGAGGGTTTTAGTTATATCTATAATGTTTTAATTTTTCAAAATGTGATAAAGTATTTGAAATGTTTCACTCACTGACTTTATAATTTACATTGTCTTAAGACTATAAGCAATTTTATAGTAGCATAATAAAGCCAAATAGTTTATTATTAGATACACAAAAACGATGTAACCTTAATTCAAATTTACTTTGCCCATTTATATCTGAAATACGTCGACTTTTTCACAAATCCTGTAGGATTTGTTTTGCACTAATATCTTTATCATGACAATCACTCTTACCTCCAAGGCATTAAATCAGCATCTGCATCTCTTACTCTACAGCACTATCATTTTGTCGTCTGTACTCTAACGTGGTTACAGTGCCCTCTTCAAGTATCTCTGGGTCACTCCTTGGGAAGAGTCACACACTTATGTCACCAGGCAAAAGATGCCTGTGGACTCCCACCTAGTACTGCAACTAAGTATAATGCCTACATATAGCTAATATGGAAATTTACATATGAATGAATACCTTCCTGTTTATATTACACAAAGGAGAAACAGACGAAATCCTGGTTCTTCAGATTATTCACATATATTCAGACTGTTGCCCTGAACCCTCACTAGAAAATTCTTCGTCTAGAATGAGGCACAGAATGCTGAATGTAGTAAGCCTCTCTCAAATGAATAGGCAATCTTATGCAACCAGAATTTCATACTTAGAGAAAACTGGGTCATAAAAGAAACAGCAGAAATTACAAATTTATCCTATAGAACATTTCCAATGTTACTCCAATGTTACTCAAACCTTGAAAAAGTAAGAGTGAAAACTAGTTATGTAACTGCTTTCCTTTTTTAAAAAACACACTTCCAATTTTAGAATAGTTACAGATTTACAGAATATTTGAATTTCTTTGTTAACACGCTGCAATCCTGTGGTACATCTGCCCCACATTAGGAAGCAATGTGAAATTTATCCACTGAAGTTCACTTTCTTCAGATTTCCTTGGCTTTTACCTAATGTCCCGCCTGCTCCTGTTCCAGAGTCCCTTCTAGGACACCGCAGTACGTGTAGTGGACCTGTGTTCCTAGCACCTTCTAGACTGTAATGGTTTTCAGGCCTGCCCTAGTCTTACAGGCCTTGGCCAATCTGAGGAGCACTGTCAGGCATTCCGTAAGATGTCCCCCAATCTAGGACTGTGTGATGTTTTTCTCATGGTGAGACTGGGGTGCTGCGTTCTTCCGGGACAGACCACAGAAGCAAAACACCCTTCTCATTGTTCCACACCACCAGTATGGACTCGTCAGAGTCGGTACTGACCTGGACCACTTGGCCAAGGTGAGGTTTCTTGACAGAAAAGTGACTCTTATCTCTCTTTCCATACTGTACATGCTGTGGGAGGAAGCTATGTAGCTCATACTTATAGAACAGGAATATATCCATCTTTTTGATGCAGCAAGATATATTATTTGGAATTCTTCTACACAGGTTGTCTATTCTTGCTCACTTATTTACTCAATCATTTATTTATATCAGTACAGACATGTGGCTAATTTATCATGCTTCGAGATCTATTTCAAAACTACACTGCACAGCAACAACCACTGTTGATTCATATTATTTTGTCTTGAGACCCTGTATCACTTCGAATGTTCTTGCTTTGATTTGTTTATGTTTGTGATACTGGTATGCTGCTACTGTCTATTTTTTTGTTTGTTTCTCATGTACTATCTTTAAAATAAAAAACAAAACAAAACAAAAACACTTGGGCTTCAGTTAAAGCAAAACTAAAAAAGGAATAAAGTTCTTTGAAGTACAAAAAACCACAAAAGACAAAAAATGAAACAAACAAAACTACACTGCACAGATTATTTCAGCTTGACCAGTGGGAACTCTCTCTGTCATGATGGTATACCTATATTATTTGTTGAACAATGGTCTCCCATGTTACTTGCTGGCTCTACAAGATACTCCAGGATTATTTTGTGTATCTTCTACCCTAGTCTTAGGTTCCACCAATCAATTTCTATACTTTCATTTATTGGGAAATTGTATTAGAAACCAAGATTTGGGTGCCAGGTGATTGCTTTAATTTTTTCAAGATTTCAAGGATTCACACGGAAAATCAGAAATATATAGAAAAAAAATCACTCATAACTTTATCAATAGATATCAACACACACTGGACAAAAATAAAGTACACTTATCAATGGTATTGGAAAAATTACATAAGAAGCTAAACTCTGTGTGTGTGTACGTGTGTGTAGAGAGTCACTACACTGCATAGTTCTAATATATATAAATTTCAATTACTACGGTTTAAACATTACCAGTCTCCCAACAGCATGGTGAAAGTATCAGTTACAAGCAGGTATAGGTATACTAATTACAGAGTTTAAGTTTCAGGGAATTAAACGGAAGTGAATCATAACAAGTGACCAACCACACTGCTCCTTTCAAAGTCTGTGAGCCACTGTTAACTGTGCTATTATTCAATTCATTCACAAGCAGCAAATCATGTCACTGTGTTGCATCCCTGTCTCCCGGTATGAACTCAATAGTTTACAAAAATGGATAATCAAAACAGGGAATATGGAAGTGCAATAAAAATTTCAAGTGTTAATCCTGGAAGCGAAATTAGAACAAAGGCAAATGGAGTTACAGAGCAGACAGCTGACCACAGAACACTGACACTGCTGCTTCTGAAGAAACTCTGGAGACGTACCCAGAGGATCTTAGAGAAGACCTTAATGACATAAATAAGGAATGTCATTACCAGAGGAGGGACACTGGCAAGATTTTTACATTACAAGAACTGCTGTAGAGATTTCATGA